CCACACTCCGTTGGGAATAGGACCGCAGTGTCGTTAGGAGAGTCTCTGCAGGTATGGGAGTGAAGCTCCACCGGCGGGCTCTCTGCGCAGGGGCCAGCCACGTTAGACCCCTTGTAGTGTTAGCTGTAGGTCTAGGAGAACGTCTGTAGCTAGCCTGCTGGTTGCTGTGGGAGGTATTACAGTAATGTAGTTCTGAGCTCGAGGCAGTTCTGTTTCAATGGCTGAAAAATGATTTCATTCCGAAGTAGTTTTTATGTCTTCTAACAAAGTGTAGGCACAGGCCTCAGGGCTGCTGTTTTATAATATCGGTATTGTAGGGAAATTGCATTTCTGAGACTGAGATCTCCACCAGGACGAAGCGAAACTGGGTGATGCTCCCATAATATTTTTGGGGTTGTCTGTGAGGTCTCGCCCTCGCTGCTACTGTTTTATAATATAGGGAAAATTGCACTAGACCCAGTCCCAGCACCAACTCGCAGCTATACCCAGAAGAAAAGCCGGTGGAAATTATTGCCTGCCCAGGGGCGCAGGTTGACCCAGGTTGGTACCGCAAAATTGTGCTTATAACCAACTACCGGAATGCACAAAGTATGGACATACCCAGCCAAAATTACGGGCGTACCCAGGACTGAGGTGGAGCAGGCAAATTATTCTTGTACCCAACTACCGAATGGCTGAAATTACGCTCATACCCAGCAGCCGTTGGGCCACAAAGGTTTGGTGGGCACAAGCATAAATTGGTGGCGCACCATCCAAGGCCCACCACGGGGTGTGGGTACACCCACAATTTTGCCAGCCCGGTTTTTTTCTGGGCATGAACACAGTTTCATGGTCTGGACCACGGGGTGTGGGTACAAATCGCCCCACAATTTTGCCAGCCCCGTTTCTGTGCATGAGCATAATTTCAAAGCACCTACGGATCATAGCCACAACACAGGGATGAAACAGCACAATACGGTATATGGACTATTTCATAGCACACACAAGGCCACATCAAGGATAGCACTGACAGGGAGCTGGGTAGCTTACCGCCCACCTCCCCACAAACACATGGATCCTGCAAACTTCGCGCTCACAGCATAGATTACTTGATCACATGGAAGTCCACAGCATGATTTACATTGTACATTGCAGGGACGCTGGACCAGATTTCCAGCAGGTGTTGCTCCCCACTAATAGATGGAGCCATCTCGACACTGCTAGGGGCGCCTGCTCGTACCAGCGTCCCTAGCAGTCGATCGGGCTGTTT